GCATCCTCCTGAATATTAACCTTCATCAGGTGATGAAAGGAGACAGAGACCCACATTGGAGCACCGGACAGAAATCTCAAGGTCCAAATCAGGAGCAGAAGGAGAGAGAGCACGAGCAAGGAACTCAGGACCGCGAGGGGTGCACCCACACACTGAGACAATGGGGATGTTCTATAGGGAACTCACCAAGGCCAGCTGGCCTGGGTCTGAAAAAGCCCGGGATAAAACCGGACTCGCTGAACATAGCGGACAATGAGGACTACTGAGAACTCAAGAACAATGGCAATGGGTTTTTGATCCTACTGCACATACTGGCTTTGTGGAAGCCTAGGCAGTTTGGATGCTCACCTTACTAGACCTGGATGGAGGTGGGTGGTCCTTGGACTTCCCACAGGGCAGGGAATCCTGGTCGCTCTTTGGGCTGACGAGGGAGGGGGAGTTGACTGGGGGAGGGGGAAGGAAATGGGAGGCGGTGGCAGGGAAGAGACAGAAATCTTTAATAAATAAATAAATTAAAAAAAAAAAGAAAATGCCTTACAGCTGGATCTCATGGAGATCCTCAACTGAGGCTCCTTTCTCTCTCATGACTCTAGCTTGTGTCAAGTTGACACAAAACCAGCCAGTACACAAACCACTTCCTGATTACATATGAGAACCACTCCACAGAAGGGAATTCATGCCTAGTTCTGGAACCCAAAACTGGAGAAATGGTTCAGTGGTTAAGAGTACCAGGTTCAAGTTCCCAATAGCCACATAGTAGTTCAAACTGTTGAGACTCTAGTTCCAGATCTGCACCCACGCCTCTAGACTCTGAGGGTACTGGCACACACACAATAAGTACTTTTTTAAAAATCAAAAATATTAGAACCAAGAAATGTAGCTATGGTGTAAAACTGCCCAGCTACCTACAGAAAAAACAGTAATGGCTTAAATTGGGTTATGACAGTTAAAGAAGTTAAAAAAAAAAAAAAAAACAAAACAGCTTCTGATGTGTTCTGGATAAAATCCTGACAACCTCAATGCATTTTGACAGAGAAAGAAGTCAGTATCTCCTATAGTTTGTCTAAAATTGTTAGTAGAAAGAAAAGATAGGGAAGGACTGCTTGGTTAAAGCAAACATTATTTTCATGTTCATGGTCAGTAAGACTGACCACCACTTATGTAGGGGATTCACAGTGGAACTTGGAAGAGTCAGCACTATATCTGGGCATCATATTCATATAGATAAAACAAGACAGTAAGAATGCTTAGCTAAGGATGAAATACAGTCAGAGTAAGCAAGAACAAAACAGCACAAAACAAAACAGCTTCCCTCAGATTTGACTTTTACCTGATTTGTCTGTAAATCCGTCGAGACATTACTTCTAGGTACATAGTTGTTTCTCAAGTTCCCTAAAAACCACCATGGCAGGCCAGCAATATCCCACTCCTCAAAGTCAAGGTCCAGCCTAGATGTCTCATCTTGAGTTAAATGTTCTATTAAATCTTCATCTACAGAAATCAAATGAAAATAACTATAGGTAATCAGAAACGACTAAGATTTTCTCAGAATACTTAACAATCTTTGTAAAAAAATAAATAAACAGAAACTGTTTTCAGTAAGAAAGAAACAGAAATAAATACCTCAGTAGCACGGCTCAAATATCCCACTTAGGTTTCATTAGCAAGCAGTAACACTATGAGCTAATCACTTCAGGACACGAAACTCTAAAAGCATCTCAACACACTATTCTACAAAAAATGACTATTTTCTAAAATTTCAAACATTTCTAACACTGTAATGTAATTCCTAACAAAGATAATGACTACAGCCAAGCATGGTGGTACATGTCTTCCTTTAATACCAGCACATAGCAAGGTCCAAGTTAGTCAGGGCTACATAGTGAGACCTGGTCTCAAAAGCACACAATAATAACTTACTCTAATACACATTTTGATAATGGCTTAGCAAATGGATAGCAAATAAATAATAAAAATGGGCAGCAGCCCAACCCGAGATCAAAGCAGGGCGGTATAGATCCCTACAGGGAGTAACAAAGTTAAGTCTTACTGGTGTCAAATATTTAGGATATTTATCAGTAACTCCTATGTTTTGTTAGGTAACAACTATTGAAAGAGAACTCCAAACTGTCCAAACAAATACATGTATGCCTTTTCTGGATCAAGGGCTCCTTGAAAGATCAGTACCTAAAAGTACCGCAGATGACAAGGTTCCACGTATTTTTTTTTAAATTGTAACATTTTTATATACAAATCTTTATTATGAATTAACACATACAATATAGACATAAATATATGCTGACGTATATAGGTTTTGATCTTTTTTTGTTTGTTTTAAATAATGTACCAGTGACCGGGCTATGGCAGCCGCTGAGAAGAAACAGCTCCCATGCAAAAATCACAGGATTTCTCTGGCCCATTGTACACACTAGAAAGCTGTACCTATACAACAGCCTCCAGCAACCACAGGGCATCCACATATTTTAAGTAAGGACTTCGACAGTTACTAAGTTCACTCTTGTTGCCATACGTAATCTTTTCTAGTCCTTTTAGCAATTCACTCTTTCCCTATTTTCTCACTGACTTCTACCTCTTACCAATGCACTGGACCTGGCCATGGCAATCACAGAAGCACAAATGTGCCCAGGCATATACGATTCAGAGATTTCTGCAATAAACTGGTCCCTGTCAGAACACAACTAATTAATTACATCCTGCTACTATCTTAGGTATATTTGTGGCCAGAGAAGCTTCAACTACATTTTCATCCTTTCATTACTGTAATGATCAGAAACTAATTCCCAAGATAGAATCATTAAAGTTATCCTTGGTTATATTCAAGTTCTGGAATTATTATAAAAAGAATATGTATAATTCTTCCCACAGGTAAAAATGCTGGAAATCCTGGAACAATTCATTCCTCAATTTCTATCACAAATTACATATAATGTCTTGAGCTATTATTTTAAAAAGCTTTTTGTGATTAGAAAATAAGATCTCCCCCCTCCCCGCACCCAAGGCAGAGTTTCTCCGTAGCTTTTTGGTTCCTGTCCTGGAACTAGCTCTTGTAGACCAGTCTGGCCTCAAACTCACAGAGATCCACCTGTCTCTGCCTCCCAAGTACAGGGATTAAAGGCATGAGCCACCACTGCCCGGCAGAAAATAAGATTTACAATTAAATAAAAGCATACATTTAAGACTAAAATAGCTTCAATGTAAACACATAGATTAAAAATCAATTTATATTCAAATATAGTGAGAAAACAAGCTAGCATGATAAACTATTTCAAATTTAATTTAAACATATAAAACAACTTTAGAACTTAATAACTTTTTGAGATATTATTAAAAATCTAATCTGCCTTTGACCCAATTATGAACCAGGAACTAGATACTAGAAAGCATTATGACATAGCTAAATACCTTTAGGGAAATTTAAGGTTTTGTAAAAAGAGAGAGACAGAGAGAGGGAGGGAGGGAAGGGAAGGACTGTGAAAGGAAGGGAAGGGAAGGAATGGGAAAGGAAAGAGAAGGAAAGAAAAAGAAAAACTCCAAAATTTCAGAAAACATTTTAGGAGAAACTTCCAAATTATGAGTTAAACTCACTCACCCTGACCATGTGCCTGACAGGATAAAGGCTCTACCAGTGTGACACACAACTACTCAATGTGCAGACTAGTGTTTGCCTCTGCACTGTTGAATATATTGTGCTGCTACATATATTTTGCCATTTTCGCAAGCTTTAAATTTTTTTTTTTTTTTTT